GGAATGCTGGAGCCCGGGATCTTCGCTTGGGGTGAGGCTGGGAATGTGGGAATTGGGAATTTGGAATTCCCAAATGGGGATTCCCGTCCTCACTATCCCACGTTTCCCAGAGCCGAAGTCTGGCAGCATTCTCACCGTGGCGGTCGCTGTGTCCATCATCGCTGCCATCCTTGCTGTCCTCATTGCAGTCGGTGTCTGGAAGCTCCAATCCGGTAACACACGGGATGGGGGTTGGGAAGGGGCACGGATCCAGCCACACTGTTCTGGGAATCCTGTGCCACCGACGCTGATCCCACTTTGTTTCCACAGGGAAGAGGGACAGGAGTGGATACAACGTGGCAGCCGGTGAGTTCCAGTGGCGGATCCAGCTCTGGGTCCCCTCTGTGCGGATCCCAGGATGGATCCTGGGGTTAATCCCAGTGTGTGATCCATGATGGAATCTCATGGATCTTCTATTTCTGCAGGAAAGGATGTGGGAATTAATGGCTCAGCTGCAGGTACAGAGCAGGATCAGGGTGGGATTCGAGGGGGATCAGGGCAGGATGGATGGACTGGGATCAGGGAAGAATTCTGGATCAGAGCAGGGGTCCAGAGTGGGATCAGGGGGAATTGTAGAGTGGAATTGGGGCTGGGTTCTGGAGTGGGATAATTTGTGATGGATGGAGCAGGATTGGGGCAGGAATGATGGAGTGGGATCAGGGAGAGATTCCAGTGCAGGATTGGGTGGGGTGGATGGAGCAGGATCAGGGCAGGATGGGATGGGATGGGATGGGATGCATGGAGCAGGATTGAGGTGGGATCAGGTGGGATTCTGGAGCAGGTCCCGCTCCCCATGGGCTCCAGCCACATCTGTCCTGTGGAATGGGGACAGGGACAGGGTGACACTGTGAGCCTCTCTCATCCTGACAGGAATCACCGCCTGAGCGATCCATGGAGCTGCATCCAGCCTCTTCCCTCTTCCCAGGAAAGCTGAGAGTTGCCAGCAGAGCTCATCCCGCTGCTCCCACCCACCCCACAACTCTTGCTAACTGATCAATTTGCTGTTTTCTATTTCGCAGTCTTTTAGAGGGAAGAACCACAAATATTCCCAGTGGTTCAGTTCTGGTAGAAATTATCCCGCTTTGGGCAATAAATCCAGTTTGGGGCAATAAATCCTGTTTGGGGCAATAAATCCTGCTTGGGGCAATAAATCCTGTTTGGGGCAATAAATCCTGCTTGGGACAATAAATCCATGTTCCCTCCTCTCGTGTCCAGCTTTTCCTCTCTGGGACGCAGGAATAGGATTGGGAGGAATGGGAACAGGGATGGGGGCATCAGGAGCAGGATGGGGACACCAGGA